TGTTTATTATAAACAGAGCATTTACATAAAAATGTCTTATATATATATATATATATATATATATATATATATATATAGATAGACATGAAAAGACTGACATTGACATGAAAAACCTCTCTCACGCACACACACATATATATATATATAGATAGATAGATATGAAAAGACTGACATAGATAGATAGATATGAAATGTCTGATATAAATAGATACATACATACATATGAAAAGACTGATAGATAGACAGGAGCAGATACTGTTTTAATCATTTCCCCCCTAGAAAGGGGATAAATCCATTAAGACTCAAGCGGTTACTCTATGAAGGAATCTAAAAAAAAAACATTAAGAAGAGAGGAAAATAAAAGAACAGGAATTAAGAAAATAAAAGATAACGATTGATATTAGCTTTACATTTTTGAAGCTCAAAGACAGAAAAGTCCCACAAGCGAGAAGTTCGAGAAAATAAACTGTTAGCATAGAACTTACAGTTACACCAAGTAATTTCAGCTGTGAAAATTATGAGACCTAACTGCCAATCTGGTACAGCGCTTAAAATCGTGAAGTCAAGGTACCAATGATGAAACCTCATCAGAACAGTTAACCATGAAAATATTTATAGAAAACGTAGTGAGACGCCATGTTACGGCTGTGGATAGTGAGTGAAGTTGAGATGCAGGTCAGAACTGATAGCATTGCAGGTTTTCCTTTGGATTTTATCAAGAATTTCTAAATATAATGCAGAATCACCAGGCCAGATGCGATTCAAGGCATCGATGAATAGTGGAATTATAAATATACAGATAGGAATTTATCTTAAATATAGGAAGCCGTTAAAAATTGACTTGGAGCCAATCGCATCTTAACGTTCTCGGAGTAATGCGTTTTTTTTTTTTGTTTTTTTTTTGTTTTTTATCTGAATAAATGCCGATATCTACTCGCCGATTTTATGATCAAGAATAGTATATATATTCCAAAACGGTAAAAATAAAAAAATATATATCAAGACAAACATTAAATGATAAGAAAAAAAAAAGTAAGAATGAAAAAATAAATAAAAAAATGAGACGGGGGGGGGAGCTTAAAGTTGAAACCTATAAAGATCGTTGGTCCATTCACATCAGAACGGCGATATGTACTGATGTGCTCTGATAACGAGACAAAAAAAGAATACGCTGCTCACTTGTGATTGGTTAACGGGAGAGTTTGATGCTCTTTGCCTATTGAGATGGCCGGGGACATAAATTGTGCCGTCGCTTCATGTGTAAGAGGATTTAGTTCAATATCATCGGGGAAGGATCATGGACTAGGCTATCATTTCACTTTAATAGGACCAATTCTTTAATACGTCCATCTAATCGGAGGGATTCTCGTCCACGCAGATACGCATGCTGTAATATAATATCTATGAATAAAGTTATATAGAAATTTAGTAATAGCCTGAATGATGTTGAAATAAAAAAGGGGAGACAACTAGTGCTGCCTGTACGAAACAGGCTTAAAAAAAACGGAATTAAAAGAAGATCGTATAGCTGAGAAATAGAAAAGGCAATGGAGAAACAAAGAATGAACATTGTCATAAAATTCTAAACGGTATATATATATAGTTTTCTTTTCTGGGCAAAAAGTAAGTAATAAAAATTGTTCGAATGTTTTGTATGTCCGAGCGCTTTCAGCAATTCTTTTAGCCATTATTAAAGTTTTTTTTTTTTTAACTGATTGTGTAGATTTTTTATGTATGTATCTAGAGTTATAGTAATGATCATTTTACAAACAGGGTCATTATATTATGGCCGTATTCATAATAGATGACATTTTCTTTTTTTATTTTCAATGCTTCCAATATTTCTAACCTTTCTTTACATGAAGATGAGTCTATTATAGTTGTACGCACACACACACACAGACAGAGAGAGAGATACACATACACACACACACACATATATATATATAAATATATAAATAAAAAATAAACGGTATATATATATATATATTATTTATATATATACGTGAAACTCTAAACGATATATATATATATATATATATTACAATATCTATAAAATCAATGAATTTATATATATACGTGAAATTCTAAACGATATATATATATATATATATATATTACAATATCTATAAAATCCAATGAATTTATATATATACGTGAAATTCTAAACGATATATATATATATATATATATATATATATATTACAATATCTATAAAATCAATGAATTTTCTTTTTAATCAGACATATTTTTATTGCTTCAAATGTTATTCTTAATGGATGCCCGTATTTCAGTAGACGTTCTGTTTATTTTAAACAGTATTTATTTCGTCTACTACTCTACGTACTCAACAAAACTTAATAGAGCATATTTCTTTATTAAGTTTTCTCGAGTACGTTGCCGGTATACGAAATAAACAGTGTTGAAAATAAACAGAGCGTCTACTTGAATATGGGTATCTACTAAAAATAACGGCTCAAATAATATATATATATATATATATATATATATATATATATATATATATATATATATATATATATATAGATAGATAGATAGATAGATAGTCATGAAAAGACTGAGACATAGAGATAAATAGATATGTATAGTCTTGTAGAAAGATGAATATGTCGATAAATAAATATTAAAAAAACTAGGATATATATATATATATATATATATATATAGAGAGAGAGAGAGAGAGAGAGAGAGGGAGAGAGAGAAAGAGAGAAAGAGTGAGAGAGAGCGGTAGATAGATAGATAGATAGATAGATAGATAGATAGATAGATATGAAGGAACTGAGATACTAGACAGATAGATGCATATACACATATATACAGACATATGAATGAGTCAGATAGATAGATATGAACAAACTAACATAGATAGATAGATAAATAAATAGATAGATAGATAGATAGATAGATAGATAGAGAGAGAGAGAGAGAGAGAGAGAGAGAATGAGCAGAATAAGATAGATAGATAGATAGATAGATAGATAGATAGATGCGAACAAATAGCATGTAAAGGAAGGAAGGGAGGGAGGAAGGAAGGTACGAAGGAAGGCTAAGACATAGATAGCGATAGAACCATCGATATATTGATTAACAGACAGGCAGATAACCACAGAGATAGAAAGAAGAAAAAAGATATAAAATCAGCATTATGAGGAGAATGTAAGATGAACCATAGCTGCAGATAGATAGATAGATAGATAGATAGATAGATAGATAGATAGGAATGAGTCAGACAGATAGATAGATAGATAGATAGATAGATACATACATACATACATACATACATACATAGGAATGAGTCGGATCGATAAATAGATACATACATACATACATTGATAGGAATAAGTCGGATAGATAGATAGATAGATAGATAGATAGATAGATAGGAATGAGTCTGATAGATAGATAGATAGATAGATAGATAGATAGATAGATAGATAGATAGATAGGAATAAGTCGGATAGATAGATAGATAGATAGATCGATAGATAGATAGATAGATAGATTCATAGGAATAAGTCGGATAGATAGATAGATAGATAGATAGATAGATAGGAATGAGTCAGATAGATAGATAGATAGATAGATAGATAGGAATGAGCCTGATAGGTAGATAGATAGATAGATAGATAGATACATACATACATACATACATACATACATAGGAATGAGTCGGATCGATAGATAGATAGATAGGAATGAGTCAGATAGATAGATAGATAGATAGATAGATAGATAGATAGATAGATAGGAATGAGCCTGATAGATAGATAGATAGATAGATAGATAGATACATACATACATACATACATACATACATACATAGGAATGAGTCGGATCGATAGATAGATACATACATACATAGGAATGAGTCGGATCGATAGATAGATAGATAGGTATGAGTTAGATAGATAGATAGATAGATAGATAGATAGATAGATAGATAGGAATGAGTCTGATAGATAGATAGATAGATAGAGATAGATAGATAGATAGATAGGAATAAGTCGGATAGATAGATAGATCGATAGATAGATAGATAGATAGATAGATAGATAGGAATGAGTCAGATAGATAGATAGATAGATAGATAGATAGATAGATAGATAGATACGAAAATACTCGCATAATGTGATCCATCCAATTAGTATGTGCATGAATGCATTCACGATGTTTAAGAACTTGATCGTTTCTGTCTGACATTCACCTTGGCCTCATGTCGCTTCTTAACTCCAAATGAGCGGAAGAATATGCAAGCGATGACCTCAACTCGATCGTCAGACCCCGAAGCATCACGTGACGGGAAAATGCTTTCGTAGCAGAAGCCAGTAAGTTCAGTTGGAAACGTAAGACGCACGGAAATACTTAATGTGATTTATTTATGTTCTTTTATTTATTAACTACAATGAACTTGATACAATTCACTGAGTGATGCTTTAAAAGCAATGCACTGTCGCTCTGGGTTGGTAGGAAAAAGACCAAATACTTTATGGCCTCATGCTTCAGTTCCTGGAACTGTGTTTGTTTGAGTTTGTTAAATTAATATTGATTTTAAAACAGAAGCCTTTATCTGTAGGAAACTATGCCAGATTTACTTATACGAGTCAATATTTACACAAAATTAGTATTAATCCACTGACGTTGGTAAAGTATATATATATGTGAGTTTCAACATAATATTCTTTTGTGTGCCGTATTCTTTGAGGACGTGGTTGAACATGGCTTCCTACCTTTTACAGTTTTTAGCTATGTTTGTCATTTTGCACGCCGCCTCAGTCTGTCATCCATTTACGCAAGCACCTTATACCGGTTATTCTCTGTTTTTCTCTGTTCTACGTGCTTTCAATGTATCTTGTGGGTATCAAATTTTCCAAGCCTTCATTCCTCATTATGTCTCCTAGAAATTTCAATGATCTCTATCTGATTCTATGTATAAGCATCCATTTTTTTTTACTATTCTAGTTCCTTTCATACTTCCTGGTTTACGGCCATATCCCGTTGAAACACCGATTCTCGTGCGATCATCGAGGTTAAGCAACGTCGAGCCTGGTCAGTACCTAGATGGATGACCGCTTGGGAATACCAGGTGCTGTAAGTTTGGATGTGCATATGGTGTACGTGATGGATTACGGCTCAAAATGATGGATGTGCGTAATCGATAACGGCTCAGAATTGTAAATCGGAGAGCCGTGTTCCAATTCCAGTTGGGTTTGTTATATTCATTTACGCGCAAATATACCTAAGAAAGGTACGAATCGACCTCTTCTCCCTGTCTTGATATAAGTTAATTAGTAAGACATTGCCTAGGAGTTCCGGCAGTCTACGCTATCTTATGTTGTTAAGCTTGTGACCACCAATAATAAATCCCGATAGAATCTCTAGTTCTTTCATGATTTCTTCGCAGTAAAGTTTAAATAAATTTGAGTATACATGGGTCGGCTGGAAAGTTCAAAGGCTAACCAAGATATATATGTAAGTAGAGTAAAACATCTAAGTGTACCAGAATACAACAGCTGGTCGACCATCTGTTGTATACAGTGTCAAGAAGGTGTTGAGAGCCATGTTTGCCTAGACAGTGAAAAGAAGTAAAAAGAAACGTGTTGTATAGATTTTTTCTCTAATTTTGAAGGAGTGGATTGAACTGGAGTGGTGTGGAATGGCTCGCTTCAATCTCAACTCTCCAGATTTTAATTTAGAGTTAACTTTCTCCAAGACTTATTGCCAACCAATTTGCCAATATTGCTGCTTTCACCCATACATGACGAAAGGAATGGTTAGATGCTGTTTCACCTATAGCGCTTTGCACTTTGCCGTTTGACCGCTAACACTTTGGACTTTGCTGTTCCACCTATAGCTTTTTGCACTTTGCTGATTCATCTATAACTCTTTACACGTTAGTGTTTCATGTATGACTGTTTGCACTTTGTTTTTTCCTCTATATCTGTTTGCACTTTGCTGTTTCACCTATAACTCTTTGCACTTTGCTGTTTCATCTATAACTCTTTGAACTTTGCTGTTTCACCTATAACTCTTTGCACTTTGCTGTTTCACCTATAACTCTTTGCACTTTGCTGTTTCCTCTATAACTGTTTGCACTTTGCTGCTTCACCTATAACTCTAAACTACAAAGTTCAAAGTGTTTGAGGTGAAAAAACAAAATCCAAAGAGTTTGCTTTTTCTCCACTAACTCTTTGCACTTTGCTGTTTCATCTATAACCTTTTGCACGTTTCTCTTTCACATATGACTTTTTGCACTTTGCTGTTTCACCTATAACTTTTTGCACGTTGCTGTTTCACCTATAACTCATTGAACTTTGCTGTTTCATCTATAACTCTTTGGAATTTGCTGTTTCACCGCTAACACTTTGGACTTTACTGTTTCACTTATAACTCTTTACACGTTAGTCATTCACGTATAATTCTTTGCACTTTGCTGTTTTACCTATAATTGTTTGCACTTTGCTGTTTCTCCTATAACTCTAAACTGTAAAGTTCAAAGTGTTTCTCTTCTTTTGGCTTCGAAGTTTTTGGTTGCGATAGTAATGAAATATCACCCGGTGGTACAGTCTTGTGCAAATGTTTCAAACGATTTAAAATTAAGTCCAATGGCTTTCTGTGTTGTCTCGAATTTGTTCTTGTATCTTCAAAGAATACAATCCCATGGTCTTTTCCCTGAATTGAGCTCACTGAATAAGACTTGAGGTGGAGACCTTGACTCTTTCAATCTTGCTACATATCCTGACCTTCAAAGACGGTGTTTAATGATCAAGCGTTTTGATGAAGTGACTGTTGGCTTCTAGGAGTTTGGTGTTGGTTACATAGTAATTCCATTTGATGGACGAAGCTTTTGCTGGTGAAAGCGTTCTAATTTCTGGATAACGCGCGACGATATAGAGTCCAATTTTCGCAACTAGACCACAATTTTTTGTTGTTAAGTTCAGATCTTTGTGCTTGAAGACGCGTTTGATTAGCATTCTAAATGCCCCGTATGCACCTCTAATTATGTGTGCCACACCCTTTTCTGAGGTGTATTTGTTTGATTAAAGGCTGCTTAGATATGGGAAATGCTCTACTTGTTTTAGAAGGGCATCACAGATGGTAATATCTAACTCTTGTAAGATGGTATTTGGGGATGGCTTTGCAAGGACCTTGGTTTTCTTGGTGTTTACTGTAAGACAAAAACAATTAAGTTGTTCACAGACTGTTTGTTGTGGAGTAGCTTTCACCGTGGAGGCTTGTATTTCAATAAGTCGTCCTAAATTGGATTCGACGTACAAAACGTTAGGAACTTGAAAATAAGAGTTAATGACGCAGCAATCTAGTTGTGATGGTTGGTACTTCAATGTCCGATATCGTCTGACTCGCTCAACACCACTGAGTATTTATCGTTCCACCCACGAGGACCGAATATGGCACAAGGCCGGTTTTAATGTGGGTTCAGGCCCTGTCTACCTCCCCGGACGAAACCCCGCTCTTCGTCCGGGTTCCTCTCTGATAACGCAGAGAGTTCGACAGAAGGCGCGCGCAGTCAGAGACCGCTCAAGACCACTGAGCCGAACTGGCGACTGCTACTACTACTTATTATCTGTGGGAGAGTCTATTAATAATAGTATAGGTACGTCAGCTATGACACTGTTGGCGTTCTTTTGAATAACAGAGGGCAGTAATGCCACTAGCATATTAAAGTTCTGAGATTTGTTGCATATGTCTTAGACTTTCAGATCGAAGTCGACTAAGATTGAAAAGTCAAGACCTATTGTAAATATAATGTAAATGCATTCTTCTTCTTTGGGCCATGGCTCTTCACAACTTCCTATCCTTTGTAGCTGTTAGCAGTTGCTGTCTTTTTACTATTCCTTCCATCCCCTATGCTGCTAACAATTTACACAAGCGCATCATACAGCTTACCCCGTCCTTTCCTCAATGATTGGCTGTTGTCTCTTTCCATGACTTTGGGGTTTTGTCACATAGTAATTCCACTTGATGCTCAAAATTGAACGAAGCTTTTGCTGGTGAAAGAGTTCTAATTTTTGGATGTCGCAACGATGTAAATCCTAGGTTTGGCAACAATATAGCAAAGTTGAAATAGCAACAGCATTATAGACTATAATTTTCGTTGTTAATTCAGATCTTTGTGGTTGAAGACACGTTTGATTAGCTTTCTAAATGCCCCGTATGCACCTCCAATTCTGTGTGCCACACCCTTTTCTGAGGTGCATTTGTTTGATTAAAGGCTGCTTAATTATGGAAAATGCTCTACTTGTTTTAGAAGTGCATCACAAATAGTATCATCTGCGAAATTTGTATGATCGTTTTCTTGATCGAAGAATGTTATACGATGAGAAATGGATCCCTTACGACAAGCGTAAACGATCGACTCTGTGGCTTTATCATGACGTAGGACTCAAACTCTTTCCAAAACTGAAATTTCACCAACTGTAGATTATGGTGACTGTCTGGTGGACCGCCTTTAGTGTTATCCATTGCAGCGCTCAGGAATCTGACCAAAGCATTGTTGTTCACAGAAGGGATATCATTTTTGTAGATCAAGCTGGTAGGGGACGTCCATCTGCAATCGAAAATCAACATGTGAATGCGTTGGTCGGATGAAACCCGCGTCAACATGTTAGAGAAATATCTTAAATAATGGATATTGGAATTTCAACAATATCTCAAGAAAATTGGCAAGGTGAAGAAATACGATTCCGCATGAACTCAGTGCAAGTGAAAAAATTCGACGTTTTGAAGTGTTTTCGATGATGCATCTGCGAAATTGGAATGATTGATTTCTTGATCGAATAGTGTCTTGCGATGAGAAATGGATCCCTTATGACAAGCGTAAACGATCGACTCAGTAGCTTTATCATGACTTAGGACCCAAACGCGCTCCAAAACCGAAATCGCACCAACAGATTATGATGACTGGAATCTGAACAAAGCATCTGCCAAAGTTTATTGCCAGCAACTGGATGGAATACACATTCAGGTAAGCAAAATGTGGCCGGCACTGTTTAATGGATGACGTCCAATAATTCTTTATGACAATGCTTGGTTGCATGTTTACAGGATAACATTGCAGAAACTCTTCGATAAAGAGACTTTGCTATAGCCACCATATTCCCTTTAACTCACACCTTAATGGCTACCATTTATTCAGACATCTCAAACTACTACCAAAATTAACAGAGAATGGGATGAAGAATTCACTTGTGATCAGATATTAAGGCTCTAGTTTCTGATGTTCATCAATAGGGTTACAAGATTTTGAAGATGAACGTGGCAGAGCTTGTCTATCTGCAATCGATATCTGAAAACAGGAGTTGAACAAGAACCATATCAAAGTGACAGAAAAACGTCTCAGCTAATGGGTATCAGTATTTCAACAATAGCAGTTCATCTCAAGAAAATTGATTAGGTGAAGAAACTCGGGTTCCACATAAAAGTCAGAGTTTGACATTTTTTTTTATTGTGTTCAATGCTGCATCTGCAAAATTCAAAAAATCCATTTCTTGATCGAATAATGACTTGTAATGAGAAATTGATCCTTTATGACAATTGTAAATGATCAGCTCAATGGCTTGATCCTGACAGAGTACCCAAACAATTTCCAAAACTGAAATTGCATCTATAGAAGATAATGGTGACTGTCTGGTGGACCGCTATTGGTGTCATCCATTACAGCTCACAGAAATCTGACCAAAGCATCACTGCTGAAATTTTACAGCCGGCAACTGGATGAAATGCACATCCAATTAAGCAAAATGCTGCCGGCACTGTTTAATCAATGATGTCCAGTACTGCTTAATGACAATACTTGGTTGCATGTTTACAAGATGACATTGCAGAAACTCGTCGACTTAGGATATAACACTTTGCTATAGCCACCATATCTGCTACTGACTACCACTTTTTCAAGCATCTTCATAATTTTTTAAGCCAAAAGACATTCCTTTTTAAAGCGGGTGTAGAAACTGCATTCAAAGAGTTCTTGGCGTCAAAACCTTTACAGTATTATCGTAAATGCATTGTAAGTCAATGACAGTAATTTCTAGATGTTCACGATTCATATTTTGAAAGACTTAAACATTGTTTTAA